GGAATATCAACCCCATTTTACAGATGAGAAAATGAAGGCCTCAGGAATTAAGTCATGTGGTAGGGCAGAGACTGCAAACAGGACTGTGACTCCAAGCTGGGGGCTCACTCTCCCCAGCACCATGTAGCTACTCCTCCCCTCAGTTTCTATGCTGGACACTTAGAAGGGCTGCTGTCATTTAGACAGCTCCATTTCAGGTGTGTGCTAAAGATTCCAGGCATCACTGTGTTTAACCCTCCTGGAGGTGGATGTTAACCCATTTCATAGAATACCCTCAGGATGTTAAACTCCTTATCCAAGTTCACATGGAAGCTCCTAAGTGGCAAAGAAAGCTGAGACTCAGCCCCAGGAGCATCTGATTCCAAAGCCTATTTTCAGTCACTTTATGCTGCTGCTTCTGGTGACAGCAACTTCTTGAAGTCCTGCTGATGTAATTCCTGCCCAACTATGGGAAGGAATCTCAGTGCATTTTTGCAGTCAGGTGGTGTTGTAGTGCTGATATCCAACAGGCTTCAGGCTTACACACTTCAGGCTGAGTGTTTGGGCTGCACCTGCTTTTGAAAATCACCTGCTGCTTCTGACTGCAGACTCCCAGGGTGACACAGTACCTCCTGGAGCTTGAATAGAGAGAGGAGTGAGTTCCAGGACCCAACTGAGGACTGCAGGGAGTTCTGGCCCATCCTCTGGCAGGTCCAAGCAGTTTATCTCACTTGGCAGAGATTCTCTGTCTAAAAGCACGTCCGACGTTTTGTGCAATAAAGTTAATGGACTTCTCCATTTCAGAGCAGCTGAATTCTCTTGGAGCAGATGCTGAGGGTTATGGATGTTCTAATTAGGAAGCTGCCTTTGGCATTGAGGAAGGGAGGGGAGACTTGAGACGCATCCTGTACGCCCTGCAAAGACCCCCTGCCAAGCTGCTCTTCCCCAAGCTTGCCAGGGCAGGCACTGCGGCAAAGGAAGAAGGGGACATTTCCTTCCTCTCGTGTCTTCCCGCTTCTTTTCTAGCATGATGGTCCTCCTGGTTTAGCTGGAAGTGACCAAGAGCACCAGGCAGGAGGACCACAAGAGCTCCCAAGCCTGAGCAACCACCAACAGGGTTTAGCGTTGTGATCAAATAAAACTTACAACTAAGTTAATCTGACACATTTATTGATGTGTATAATTGTTATTGGCCTGCACTGCAATTAGGCATAAATGGTAGGTCGTTCCCATGAGTGACTGTAATTAGTAATTCTCATTTTTGGCCCAATCAAGTTTGGGTGTGTGTGTGTTTTTCCCCCTATCAGCATAGAAGCTCCCCAGTGTCTGTAAACAGCACTGACATTACCTGTTTTCTGATTCACTGCTTCATTTATTCATTCTCTCCTTTACCAAATCTGTAGAACAGAGGTCTCAAACTGGAGGCCACATTCTGCTGCTTCCTGGGTGCTTGTAGGTGAGTAATTGCTCTTCTCTCAGCCTCAATTCCTATAACACCAATATGGGGATGGCATATCCTGCATCACAGGATTGTGGCGAGAATCTTGGAAGAGGGGACATACAGGGAGCCATGCACAGTGCCAGGCATGCAGTTGTCATCCACTAGCTGCCAGCTATTTTGTAATTAATGACAGTCCTGGGAAAGAACGAGCTGAGCACTGGGAGCTCTGAGACCTTCAGTCCTTAGACAGAAGAGTAGTGGGCCTCTCCCTTACAGCTTGCAGGAGCTGGAGGTCTGGATTATGTGAGGGCACAAAGCCAGTGGCATTGGAATGAACTCATCCTTACTCACAGGTGAGTGGGACTTGGAAAATTCAGGCTTTTCACTTCTTTAATCTCACTGCTGGCCAAGCCCTGGGAAATGTGGAGCTGTCCTGATTTAAGTAAGATGTGATCACTTGCTCTATGAGCACTCCCATGCATCATGATGTGATGCAACTGAGGAGTCCTTACGGAACTGAGCCAGTGCAGACACATTACCCTGACCTCAATCTTCTGTGAACTAAGTGAACCTCTTTTCTTTATAAAGTTAGCCCGGCTTGGGTTTTTTGTTATGGTAATAAAAAACTAACTAATATAGAAGAGGGCTGATCTTCATAGCAAACTGAAGGTGAAAGATTTGGGCCAGTACTAATGGATAGAAGCTGTAGCCACTTGGAGGAAAATCCCTCTGCATCCTGGAGCTGCTGAGTTGGCTTGGGAGGGGCTGGTGTGTTCTTTGCCAATATACTTTATTCTGGGAGAAAATGGCTTGGGAGACAACCTGGAAAAGACAACCTGGGGTTGGGGGTATCCGAGAGGTCGGAGCTGCAGAAAGAAGCATGTGAAGGACTGGGCAGGGACCCTGGAACTCTGGGACCCTGGGGTCCCAGGACCCCAAGCTACAAGCAATGCACAGAGGATCAGGAGGTAGTGAACACTATTTGCTTCTTGAATCGAGGAGGCAGAAGGCCCTAGATTGTTCTCTGTCCTGTTCTTACTCACTGGACCTTAAGTAAGTTAGTTGGTTTTTCTGAGACTCAGTTTTTCATCTGTAATCGGGTCACAGCCAATGTTGTCAGTGTCTTTAATTCTTCCGCCTTCACTGTGTCTGTGCAGATCACCCTGCTTTCTCAGTGCTGCCGTGTGTGCTGCTCTGCCCGAGGCTTTGTCCTGGTCAAGGGCCCACTTTGGCACCACAGCATGCCAGAAGTGTCTGGGTTGACCTCTGGGATCAGCTCTAGGACTTAGGACACATTCCGGCTCCCTCACCATATGGCGGACCTACACTGGTTCCCAGAGTTGCCTGTGGACTGAGGCTCAGTCACCCATGCAGCAAATGGTCTCATTGACTGACTTTCCATTGGTGCCTCACATTCGCACTCTTCTACTCTCATCTTGTATTTGAGGCCTTCAAGCAGGGGTCTATTCTGGGAAGAAGGGATCCAACTGCACCTTCATTTAGCATTCTGGGGCCCACTGTGGATGAAATATCTAATGTATTTCATTTCCCTTATATCCTGCTGGGCATTAGCAACTCAGTCCCAAGGAATTCCAGCTACTGGAGAATTGAGGGCAGAGCTCTGAGCCATGTTGGGCTGACTGACAGGCCTTTGGAGATAAAGGACAGGGCACTCTGGTGCTCAGGCAGGACCTTGGGGCTTGTGTGGAGGGAAGCTGATGGTTCCAGGCTGAGGCCAATGCTCTGGAAGCAATCTCCATGGGGCCCCCTCATCCTAGATTCTGTCTGGAGGCCGAAGCAGGCAATAAATCCCCTCGGTGGAGCTGGTCCCAGCATGGGCCACCCTGCAGAAAGACTTCATCAGCAGCCTCATTTGCATAAGATAATGAAACTGCAGTAAAAATAGTAAAAGAAAAAATGGCCTGGCAACTTTGTTTCCATAATGACAGATGCTTCTTAAACAGCCAGCTTCTGTTTCCCAAGGAAGTGCCATGAAGGCCCCAGGGGAGGTGGAATCCTAGCCCAGACTGGTTCTTGCAATAGCAGTCTGCAGCCTGAGTACCCAGCCCTGACCTCCTCTTGCTCCCTGGCTTGCTATTGGGAAGGCTGTGGGGTAGAGAAAGAAGGGAGGGAGGAGAGCCTGCTGAGCAGCAGGAAGGGGCCCTCACACACAGCAAGGCCTGTGATGCCTCCCATTTAACAAGTGCTTTCCCCGGAATCTTTGCTTTTATTGTCATGTGAATCCCTGCTCTAAGGCAGCTCACGTGGGTAACATCCCTGCACAGGTGAATCGACCAAGGCTTGTGAATTATCCAAGTCACCTGCTTGAATCAAGGTGGTGGACAGGGTTTGAAACGTGTCTTCTGGTCCTGGATGCCACCAGAAATCGCTATAGAGATAGCAGGTCCTTGATCTAGAAGGCAGTGGGGACCTGTGGGGTTTGGACCCAACTCAATCTGTTTTTGACCTCAGTGCTCTGAATGAGCTGAGGGGACCAAAGTCAAAAGAAAGGAGACTCCTCTGGGGGTGGGATTCCCCACAGATAGGCCACAAAAGACCCCAACTAGAATCTGCTTCAGATCTATCTTGTCCCACCCTCCCCAAACCACTAGAGTTCTGCAGTGATGCTCTTGGATGCAGAAATAACAATAATCATGATAAAGTACTGGACAAGGAAGCTGTTCTCTCAGTTCGAAGGGAAATCTCCACGCTAGTTGCACTTGGCCAGGGTGGGGGTTTTTCTTGGCACCTCCCCACCACCTTCTCCAGAAGTATTGTGGTCTGATTGGAGCCCCAACTTCCTGATTCGTTGAAAGAGGCCTTGGCTGTGGCAGAGTCCTTGCCTGGCCAGACTCAGTTTTAACAAATTATCCCATTAAGGCTAAGTTAGTTTAAATAAGGAAACCCTCTTCTTCCATAAGAGATTTGGAGGTGGAGGCAACACAGAGCCCACCTCCCTGTTCCCTTTGGGGCTGTTTTTGCCATGGGAGCATGAGGGTCTCCCCTCTCTGTCTCCACTAGCCTGGATGATGAGAAGCAAGTATGACAGGGCCGGTGATGGCAGCAGCTGCTTGATCCAGATTCTGGGAATCCTGGATTGCAACTCCACGGCGTGTCTCTCCCTCGCAGCTCTTGGGCCAGGTTCAGTGGCTGGCCTCTCTCTATCATCCTCTCCACTGGTGTCATAAACCCTTGTATTCAATCTCTCCCACTTAAAGCAGCCCAGCTTGAACTCTAATTGACAGGTGCTATTTGCATCTCCAGACAGTAATCCATTGAGGTAAGATTTCTGATGGTCCCAGCTGGGCTGTGATGTCCATTGGACTTCACTAAAGGGACAGAGTTGCTGAAGAACAGGGCCACTCTCCAAGGGAGATGAGTTGGACAGCAACGTGCTTAAGTGGGGAAGACAAAGGCCAGGCAGTTTCAAGGCCAGATACTGCAGCCTCCATATTTGAATTGGAATTAGCTGAGTACCCATAATCCTGGGCAACCCTGGGCACTGTCATCCCTGGGGAAGACAGCAAAAGGTGTTAGGTTCTAAGGAGAGAAGAGAAACAGAAGGCATAGCTCAAGGGGATCTTGTTTTCTAGAAACATTTCTTTATTTAAAATTTAAAACCATATTACTTCATACAGCAAACTGTGCACTTTGATATATCACAGTGTCTTAAAAAGGAAAATAATCGGATTTGTTTGGAAATTTATTTACATCAGCCTAGAATGATTGGCAAGTAACACAGTTACTATGAAACCCAAATTGTTACAAAATGTTTACAAAAAACTATATTCATAGAAATTCTGCATGTCCACAAAGGGCATCCCCTGAATGGCCCAGCGACCAGTGTGTGGGAACCAAGTTGAATGGGAGTGGGAGGTGTCCAGGCACTCTGGTCCGGGTAGTGGGACAGGCCAGGGCTCTGGGAGGCCCATGGTGCTGTCTGGGGCTCAGTCCCAGGGTTGGAAACTGAGATCCCCATCACAGAGACCCAACCAGAAAGTCTGCCCAGATAGAGATGGGCTGGGGTTTCAGAACACAGTGGCATGAGGGCCCCCAGAACCTCTGGTCTCTGTGGAGCCAGGAAAGGACCCTATTTAGGGGCTGGATTCAGATGCACTTGGCCAGGCCCCAGAGACTGACCGCTTAAGTGCTTGGGGCTGAAGCAGAGGGTAGGCTGTGACCTGTGCGGAAGTGAAGCCTGGTCTAGACCTTTTGTTCTCCCCGCACACTCCAGAGATGCTCAGAACCATGAACAGGTAAAAGGACTGGGATTGCAGAAAACAGACGGATCCACATGAGGCAGAGCAGAGGCAGAAGCATGCAGCCTGCTGGGGGCTCTCTGCAGCTCCCCTGCTTAGGGGGAAGGGCAATCAGATGGCGTCAGGCCCTGCTGAGGCATGACTGCCTTCTTGCCTCTCAATTCTCTGGTTCCTTCATTAAATGGAACTAACTGGTGAGGGTGTCTGAGCTGGGACAGATTCTTGTCTAGCCTTTGACTGAGTCAATGGGTGCTTCCAGCTCTTGAGGGGCCTCAGGGTTTTGATCTGTAAAATTGAGACAAACTGGGGTGCTTTGAGGCCCTCTGTCCTAGAAAGCAGGACTGGTAACCCGGGCATCAGGATGAAGCATGGCATTCTGACAAGGCCCTCAGGCCTTTCTCTTCAAACACCATCTCTTCCAGCTGTGAGCTGTAGGCGCCTCTGTGTGGGGTGACAGTCTGAGACCTCTGCTCCCATAGAGGGTTACAGGTAGAGCCTGACACCCATCAGTGATTGGAAGGAGGTGTGACAGCAGGCCTAGGGGAAGGCCTCCTCTGTCCCAGCTCTTCTACTCCCTGTTAATGGCCCCAGAACACGAATGTGATGATGGCACAGGGGCCAGGTACTAGTGTGACACTGCTTCTTAGACATATCCAGGCATCTTGCCAAATGGACTCCCAGGTGGGACAAGGTCCCATGGCCATTCCCTGCCCCCACGTCCTGTCCAGCTTTGCAGTACTGTCCTCTTCGTCAAGGTCTAGAGTGCTGCTGGATGCAGGGCCTGCCCAATTCCCAAGGGTGATGCAAACTTTGTCCCAGAACTTGTTGCCATAGCTCCCATCTGTCACCTAGTCCCCACCCACACTGGCTGGGTTCTGTACACTCTGTGTGCAGATGTGTGGGGAAGGGTTGTATACACATGGGCTATGGGTCATATATACACTGTGCATATATATAATATATACAGCATATATATATATATATTTACATTCATATATATATATTGTATAGAACATTAACTTTCTACCTAAAACAGTTTTGTGACTTCATGTACCACCTCAACTCTGAAAATTTTAACTCCAGGGCAAACCCAGCACCAAAATGAGAGCTTGATTCCAATTGGTGTGGAGATAGAGGGCAGGACCCTCCAAATGTGGTAAGCAGCTGAGCTCATTCCAGATGTGTCTTGCTAACTTAAGACTTCCAGATGTGTCCATCTAGAGTCCATCCATGGAGCTGGCCCATTTCTTGTATCTGCCCCTGGTGTTGGGCTGGTATCAGGTGTTAAATTCAAAACAGCTGTCTATTTTGTTAGGTCCTCTCTTTCCAGATGAGTATTCACTCTGGACCCTTCCAGACATTAGCTTGTTCTCAGATGCTTGCGCACACATCAGGAAATGGCTTGGAGTAGGATCCTCTTCATGCTGAGTGACTGCTGTATTCCCCCACCCCCAGCAACACCCTGAAAGGGAAGGCTGGAGGGTGCTCTTAGAGAATGCAGGCCTGGGTTTGACTTCTGTTTTCCCAGACTTTATGGAGAGGGAGCAACATCCAGCTTGCCTGGACCTTTCATCTATCCTGGGCTGGTGCCAACAGGAGCCAGCTGTGCTTTTCTGGCTGAGGCAGCAGAGTCTGGACTGAGAAGAGGCAGCCCTCCCACCCCTCAAGCTCATTGGCCAAGGGGGAACTTTCCCTCTTACAGAACACATGTAGAGTGGGTCTGCTGGACACAGACAGAGCCTTCATTTGGGTTTTCTTATCTGTCTGCAGCAGAGAAGTCACCATCAGGTCAAGGGAGAGACAGAAGAGGGACTCAGTGTCCAGAGGTCCCAGAGCCTTGGTGAGAGGAATGAGGGTGCTTCCCTCCTCATTGCTGCTTAGTTTGGTCAGGGTGGCATCGAGGGGGAGGGAAGCACTTCTGCTCAGGCTGTCCCGAGGGACCACACAGGGACAATCAGGCACCTGTCAGGTACATTTCATCTTCTGCTCCATCCAAGCCAGCTTTGTGCTTCCTTTCACTCCTTGGCACCTCTGTGCTGTGCACACACACATGTGCCCTGGCTCCAGCACAGCTACACCCTCCTGGCAGCGGGGCAGCCTCAACTTAATGATGAGTGACCTTCCTTTCCAGGAACACCTCCCTCCGTACTCCACCCTCCATTCCTGTTTCACAGATGGGGTGTCAGCTTCAGCACCCAGGGAGAGTCACAGTTCAGACACAGGCAGGGTGATCTCCACTGTACTCCACACACTGGGCTGGTCTCTAGGATGTAGGACATCAGCCAGAGGTTGAGCATTAGCCACACCTCCAGATATAAGGCTCGAATGGAATGGAGATCAGATAGCACATCATCCCACTTCTGTTCAGGAGTACAAAAACTGTGCCAGTACCTTCAGGGGGAATTCCCCTAATGGAATGGCACCTCCGCTTGTCCAACATTCTTCATTCCTTTGATGAAGAAGTTTTCTGCCCCAGAAACTTTCTTTTTTCCCTCCCATAACAATCTGTACAGTGCATAGCCTCAGAAGAACACGACACATCCATATAGTGTCATGCACAAAAGCACATGTGTGCGTAACATGAGTGTGGTTATGGGTGTGTGCTATGAAATTGTACTAGACAATGTAAGACAGTGGTTGATGTCTGTGGTTGGTGAGAGCAACTGGTAAAGACTTTCACTAGAATTCTATTGTTAGGAATGGTAAAAGAAAAAGTTTGCTCCTCAGACAGGACACTCCAACTACAGCAAAGGAGTTAGCAGCTTTGAGTCACAGAAGGATGGAGCGCCTCGGCCATCTTCCCAAGTGTACGACCTCCACAATGTGTGACACACAACCCCTACCATGACAAGAGTGCAGAACCTGATGCACAGCCTGCCTGATTGATTGTCTGTCTTGCTCCTGTTATGAGCTGGGACATATGTGTGTGTGTGGCCACACATGGGTATGAGCACACTCACACTCACACACACACACTCCAACCTTCCATCTACAGGGCTCCTTACATCAATAGGCATTGTGTGTCCTCCCCCTGCTCTCTGTTGGACACTCGAGTCTTTTCAAACTCACACACAGACCCCTTAACAACATGGCTTCTCCTTTTGCACTCATTTGGCTCCACTGCAAGGGTTTCCTGCCCTCAGTCCTCTGCTGGTTAGCACAGGTACACACACACACACACACACACACACACACACACACACATGCATAAGCACATACACTCTCTCTCACCAGAACCCTGACATGGCTTCTCCTGTTTTTACATACATAGGGCTCTGTTGCTGGTCCAGATTTGTCTCCCTCGTCCCTAATTCACTCACATATACACATTCACATACAGATACCAGGTCCCAAAGGATCCCCTGTTATTGCATGTCCTGGACTATGTCATACGGCCAAATCTGTTCTTCACCCCCAGTCCCCAAAGCTCATACCGCAAACATACATGTGCTCACAACCTCCCAAAGCTCACACTAGCATGGCTTTTCCTACCATTCCATATTTGGGGCTCTACTATATGTCTAGTCCTCTTCCCCATGCTCCAGTGTAGACAGCCAATCAGAGCTGCTGTCATTTGGGGGACCAGTGGGTGGAGTCTTGTAGCTCACAGTTTGGAGGACCTCACCAGGTCGGTCTTTGCTTTTCTAGAGAGGCTCCTTCCCCTCACTGCTGAGAAGACCCCTTGAGATGGAAATTTAGCTCTTCCTAGTTGAGCGCAGCCACCTCCGCTAGCAGTATTAGGAACAGTATTAGGTGTGAGGGGTGGCTGGTCCCCTGGTTTTCTGTTCAGAATTTCCAACTCTCCTTCCTCTGTGCAGAGTCTAGTTTCTATCCCAGGCCATGAAGGCCTGTGGGCCCCACTGTGCTCTCTTTAAGGACACTTTTTGCCTAACCCTTCATTTCTCATTCTTTTTTGAAAGAATCTTAAAGTCCCAGATTCTGAAATATTCACAGCAAGCTGGAACCACAGATCATCCGGTCCATACCCTTGCTGATCCTCCACTGGCTACCACTCCTCTCCTTTGCTGTCTCCCCCAAGGTTGTAACTGCTTCAGATAAGAGACAAAGGATCAAGATAACCTTATATCTCTGTGTTGGGTCTTTGGTTAATCCTCCAGGAGGCAGCTTCTCTCTCCCTTTGAGTCCCTGTAGCTATGATATCCTACTACTGAAAACATACATTTTTTTCCAGGGAGCATCTTTAAGTTTGGCAGGTCCAGGAGGCCTGGAGTTCTTTGGATCCCTCTGACTCTTCCTACCCAAAGAACACACAGGACACTGTCTCTTTCCAGGAAAAGTGACTTGATTTTCTCACTTCAACTGAGGCTACTCTTCTCTTTGCAAGATGACAGAGGGAGGCTGAATTCAACTGGCCAAGTATAGGAAGGTGCCAGTGAGTAGATGGCACAGAGCCCAGGTTCCCAAATGCCAACAGGGCTTAGTAAACAGCTTGCTAACCAACAAAGTGAGGTCCATTGGCCTAAAAGCCTGTGGGATTTTCATGGAATCCACTGTTCATCTTCTGGCCTTTTGAACATCAGCTGAGTCACTGGGTATCATTTGTGAGAGATTTAGGCATCCTCTCTCCTCTGGACAGAAGTGGAGAAGTATTTGCTGTGACCACTATACCATATGTATTCCTGGAGACCTTCTCAAGAAGCGGCAACCATTGAGATGTTGTGCACAGGAATCCAAAATGGTGGCTTCTACCCGTGCATTCTCTTCTCATCCCCAAACTTCTCCTTTCCATTCTGCCATTGATTTTGCCAAGGGGCTGTTGGCGTCCCTTGGCTCCCACTGGCGGCCACATTGTAACATCTGTAAGGCGCCAAGGTTTGTGTCCCTGGACTCACGGTCAAGAGCCCAGGGGCCTGGGCTCTTGAGAAAGAAGTGGCAGTCTAAGTGTCTTCATTGTTCTGTAGCCTCTGTTGGGCCATGGCAGAAACTCCTGACTGTAGAGGAGAGTACAGGGACTGGGATGGGTAAGTCTGGCCTGAGAGAGGGATGTGCTTCCTTTGGCCTTGGCTATCTTGGCTGGCAGCTTTAGAAACCCATAGAAGAGACAGGAGGAGAATGTAGCCCAAGAAGGGGCCTAAGGGCCTGCTGGTTTCCTGGTAGATGAGGGCAGAGGGTTTCCGGCACAGCATGCAGGCAGCTGCTCTGGTCCCCAAGCCCAGTGTGAGGACTGAGTGTTCCATCCGGTCTCCTTTGCTCTCCTCTGCCTTGCCACAGGCCTGTTGTCCCCACCCAACCTGTGCCTAGGGGAACACGGGGGCTAACGATGTGCTGCAGGTCATGCTGTCCTTGCCTGGAAGCCGGCGATCATTGAATGTGTGCATGTTGATGACAGCGTCAGTCTTGACCATCATGGGAGCCTGTGGCTTGTGCTTGACCCGACGTTGGCAGGTGAGGGAGAAACGAATCTCATCAGCCACGGTGCTGCAGAAGGAACGCTGGGGGAAAAGAGCAGGATTCACCAGTGAGGCCTGGTTCCACAGCTCTAGCAACCTCCTCCCCTTCCTCCCAGAGGTTGTCCTCAGGTGACCCCTTCTTTCTCCACTTTGCCCCACCAGCCTTCTGCCTCCTGCAAGATGATTCATTTATACAGTGGTCTATGCAGACCCACTTCTTGTTTGAAGAGTAAGATAGCAGAACATGTGTCATTTCACAGATGAGTACGCTGAGACTCTGATGAGGATGCACATTAAAATCTGATTTTCCTCCCTTAAATCCTAGTGGCAGGGACCAGCCAGGTTCACTCCCATGAGCCCAGTCCTAGCATTAGATGTACATAAATGTGGGTGACCTTCTTTCCGGCAGGGCTTCCCATCAAAGGGAGAATCACTGCTCTCCCACTCAGGAAAGTCCAGCACTGGCAAAGTTTGCCACGGTAGACAACTGGGAGGCAGCTCCCTGGAGGGCTGTTGTGTGGCAGTGTCCTTCTCCTGACTACATCCTTGCAGACAGCCAAAGAGGGACAACAAAAGTGCAGTATTGCTACATGTATTTGGTGGCAGTGGCTTCTCTGACAACAACCACCAGTGGCTGTCCTGAGGCTTGTATGTAAGTCAGTGGTGGTCTCATGCCTCAGTTTACCCAGTGAAGCCAGGGCATTAGCACTAGGACCAGTTGCATACTGGTTGTGGGGTGTAGGAGAACAGAGACTTGGGGTTAAATTCTGGCTCTGAATCTTACCAGTTGTGACATCTCTAGATCTCCCATTCCTTAGCTACTAAACTGCAGACTATCACCCTTCTTTGAAATGTCTTTCTTCATTCTGCAAATATTTACTGAGACTCTACTATATGCCAGGTACTATTCTCGGTGTTAGGCACATGACAGGAGAGAACACAGACAATGTCCCAGCTGTCAGAGAGTTTGTGGTGTCACCACGGGAAAGAAACAGACAAAGACATTGATCAGGTAAGTAGTTTCGATAGTGGATTGCTGGTATGAGCAGTGAAATAGGATGAAGTCGGTGGGGACGGGGACATGTAGGGAAGGCTACTTGAGGAGGTGATGTGTAAACTGAAACGTTAGTGATCAGATGGTGCCAAGCATATGGTACCGTGAAGGAAGAGCATTCCAGGTAGGAGGAAAAGGATAGTGAAGGCCCGGGGCGGAAACGTGTTGGTGTCCTGGGGACTAAAAGGGAGTTGAGTGTGTATGGAATGCGTGGTCAGGGTGGGAAGGACTGGAAGGGTGAGGCCTGAACAGGCCAGGACTGGGTCCCTAGAGTTTCAGGTGCAGTTTGGAGCCTAGTCCAATCTTAACAGGAATTCCTAAATAGTATGCCTGTTCTTTTTGATATATTTTTTAGCCATTTCATATTGTTGCTATTTCTCTATTTTTTCCTGTTATAATCGATACTTCCAAAAACATCAGTCAACACAACTGCACATATCCTTGATCGCTTCCATTTTGTGCATTTCTAAAAGCAGCAATTGGTCAAAATGTGTGCGCTGTGTTAAAAGACTGAACATCTCACCGAGTGTGGTGGCTGAGGCAGGAGGATCACTGAGAGTTTGAGGCCAGCCTGGGCTACACAGTGAGCTCAAGGTCAGCCTGAACTGCAGAGTGAGATCGTGCCTCAAAAAACCAAAAATCTCCTGAAAATAAATAAATAAACAACAGCAACAACAACAACAAAAATAGCGAATATCCTGTGGAGTTTCGCTACAGAAATGTACCTGTTTAGAGTTCAGCAGTTCAGGAAGTATCTCTTTCCCCACACCCAGGCTAACTTGAATATCTGATGTTGTCCTTCCCCTCCACTTTGTTAATTTACGTGGCTGAGGATGGGTCCATTTCCCTTTTTGAAGGCTATATAAGCTCTCTGCAGTAATTGCTGTGTGGGTGATCCCCCCACCTGGATCTAGATCCCCTTAAACTTCTCCATGAGAGCTGATTTCCCAGCCCAGAGGCCTCAGCCCAGCTACATGTTTAAGTTGTCCTTTAGCTTTATGAAAACACCAGTGCTGGACTCTGCCATGAGCCAATTAAAATGCAGTCTCTGGGAGCAAGGCCAGGGCATTAGCACTTTAAAACTCTCTCCCTGTGGTTCTCATTTGCTCCAGGGACCCAGAACCACTGCCCAACCAGGCTTGAATTAATCAGACTAGTAGAATCGAGTTCCCCTATCTGCACACTTAGGCCAGCCCTTAAAACTCTTCCTTTTAAAACTTTTGGTTATGGAAATTTCCAAGTATATGCAAAAGTGGAGAGAACAGTATAATGAATGATTTGCCACCATCTCCTAGCTTCAACAATTACCCCAGAGGGTTTTATGCAGCAAACTGATAATGGTTTGAATTAAGTTTCAAACAAGCCACAGGCTTCTGCGCAACCAGGAGATAGCAGCAGGAAAGTGTGGAGGTGGGAAGGCATGGTCCGTCCCAGTGGTGATGGTGCTATGCCCTGGGTTCGAGTAAAAACAATGGAAATTGTGCTGGATCAAGACAAAACAGAGCGTCAGGATGTCCCAGTGCATTGGATGCAAGATGGACTCTTATGAGGGTGGATGAGACCATGGTGGGCCCAGTGCTAGCAGAAGAACAGCATCTCCCTCTCAGCGCCTCTAGGGCCAGCCAAGGGCTCACCTGCTCTCGCTCTGCTGTTTTGCGGAGCTTGTACACAAACTCTCCCACAGCCACCAGCACAGACAGGACCAGGCCGGCGGCCAGGACGATGAAGATGCCACCAATCTTCTGGATGCCTAGGGCGCTGGCTTCTTTGTTTTCCTCCTCGGGACACCCGCTGCCCCGCCACCACTTCTCCTTCATGATGTGCAGCTTGTCCTCCTCCTGCAGCTGCAGGATGGCAATGGTGATCTTGTCCCGGTATGGGGAGCCTGGCAAGGGGAGAGGGGAGCCCTGGGTGTCAGTATCATTTATTTGACCCCCATCAAAGCTTTAGTTGGAGTCAGTCACCATCACTAGCTCTCTCAATGAGCTGTTTACAAGAGGGACCCTACCACTGAGGTCCCTCTTTAACTTTACATAAGGCAACTGGGTGGATGGTGTAAACCCCTGAGTATCCACTGGCATGGATTCCTAGAAGGCATCTCTGCTGTGTCATCAGAGGAAGGAACAGGGAAGACATCGATGACCTCTGGGAACTGACAACCCCACGTGGTGAGTCCTGCTTCCCACTGCTCAGGGCAGAGCTGGCCTTCACAGGTATGTGGCTCTGCCTCTCTGCTCCTGGGCTGAGGTCATGTCACCTTCCTGGGGTCAGTGCAAGGATCATGTTTGTGAGCAGCCGTGGGGGCCTTGCCCTCCCCTCCGCCCTGTGCCCTAGCTCACCCATGGGCGTGCCGATGCCATAGCCCTTGGAGTCGATGAGACCCCCGATCTGGGTGAGGTTGCAGTTTCTCTGGGTGATGTACTCGATGGTGGTGGATTCCATGAGCAGCGCATAATCGGCCGTCAGGGTCCGCTGGATGCCCTCCTCGTTGTTCTTCACCAGTGCCGAGGGCTTGCTGCTCATGAAGGCCCACATCTTCTCGAAGGTGGAGATCTTGGATTTCTGGGCCAAGAGAAAGGGTGAAACACACAGGGTGATTGAGGCCATTAGGACCAAGCTTTGCACACCTGCTCAACAGGGCGTGGCTCACTGAATGAACTCAGCCTATACGCTTCAGAGGAAGGGAGCACTGTCCATTGCACAGATGTGCAAACTGAGGCTTGCAAGGAGAGGTCTCCAAACAGAGGTGGGGAATAACAAAGCTGAGACTCAGACTCTGGAAACTCTGGTTCTTCCGCATGGCACAAAGAGTCTTCAGATTGGCTTTTTCTTAGTACTGGGATTGAACCCAGGGTCTTTGTACTGAGTTATAGCCATACTCCTCTATTACATTTTATTTAATTTTGAGGCAGGGTCTCACTAAGTTGCTAAGCTGCTGAGGTTGTAATCTTGTAATCTTCTGTCCTCAGCCTCCCATAGTGCTAGATCTAGCCTCAATTTTTCTCTAACATGTGTTAAACAATGTTTGTACCTTACCTGCTTTACTTTGGTCACTGGCTCTTCACAGTGACCACAGGAGGCAGGTGCCTTCATTAGTTCCATTTTATAGGGTAAAATTGAGGTACAGCTGAGCAACTATCCTATGGATACCCAGAAACTGAACGGCCGAGCAAGGCCTCCAAGCCAGGGTTCCTGGTGCCAGAGTCTATGTTCTAACCCTTTAGCCGCACTGCCTGGCAGGATCACTGTGAAGGGGGGTGGCTGGGAGATGGATGCTGGTGAAGGCAAAGCTCGATGGGCCTGGTTCCCCCTTCATTTCAGCCAATGCAGCTCCCTTTTATACTGATTCAGGGAAAGAATATGAAGCTTAGATTTTGGTCTATTCTCCTCCAGCCCATGAGGGAGGTAGGTGAGCATTCAGAGCAGATGGCTTTAAACCCTTGGTGTCTGTTCAGAGCCTGGAACCACAGGCTCTTGGTTAGACATGTTTCATGGGCAGAACCAGCATCCCTAAGATGAAGCTGGGGTTGGGGAGACTCAGAGAGGTCTGGGGATGGAGGAAGGAGGACTGGGGCCGAGAGTCCTTTGCTGACTGGGGACTGTGCAGAACAGGATGCATGTCATTGGTGAGATTTCTTGGGAACTTAGTGTTGCTTGCTGCCTGCTCTCAGCAAGGAGCACCCTGTCCCAGTTGGTCCCAGAGGTGCAGGTGGCTCTGCAGGCCTTATTGTTTCAGTGGTTTCCGAATCTGGCTGTGGCTTTCTGCAATGTCAGCCTTCTGACTGGTACCTAGCCCGGCTCTTGTGTGTGTGTGACAGCATGGGTGTGCTCACACAGACTGGCATAGGCCTGGGCCATCGGTAGGGGTTAGGGAAGAAGCCGAGCTGCCAGGAGGGGTTGGGAAATCTGGGAGGAAAATGGACTTTCTATCTCTAGCTGACTGACAAGAAACCAGCTTTGGAAATTGGTCCTGCAGACCCCAATACACCCCAAGGCAGTGAGGATAGGATGGACCCTCAAAGCAGCGGGCATAACCCTCCAGAGTTTCATCTGATGGGGTTAGCTGAGTGCCAGCAATTCCTCCTTTGGGTATAGGAGGCACCTTCACAGACAGGTAACCATGCTTTCCTGCCTGTAACTTTACCTGCCCCAAAGAGCAGCCCACTTTGGGCTGCTCCCAGCCCCTTCTGGTCCTCAGCCTCTCCTTGCAGCTACTCCTGCTCCATGGTAACTCCCGCTGCATCCCTGCCTCCCAGGCTTCGGTGTCCTGTAGCTCTGCACCTTCTCAGCCACTCTTTCACCTTAGCTTTTTCCAAAGTGCCCCACTACCTCTTTTTTCCTTAAAGATACACCTCATTTTCAGCAATTCCAGTGCCCCTATGTTTCTACTTCCTGGATTATTTCTGATATGCAGATTCTCCTTCTGGTAGCTTCCTTGCTGCCCCAACCCCTCTTCTCTGTCTGCTTCATCCACAGGTTGCTGCTACTCAGACCTTTGTGAAATCCCTGACACTTGTCTGCCAGCTGGATCTACTGACTAGCTTTTAACTCCTTCGGAAGTGATTACATGTGTTCAAGATAAGACGTAAGAGACTTCCCTTTGCTTGGGCTCTCTCTGGCTCTTCTCTGGCACAAGTTCCTCAATGTCATGGGTTGCTTTTGGGGAATTCCCAAGGCAAGAGAGAGCAGCCTTTGGCCGATGGTCAGTGAGGAGCTGAAGCCCTCAGTCCAGCCAGTTGGAGGACCTAGGGCCTTTGCACAATCACGTGAGCTTAGAAGCTGTGCCTTGAAATGACTGTGGCATTAGCCAACATCTTGACCACAGCCTTAGAAGAAGCCCTCAACTCGGGGATTCAGTTAGTTGTGCTGGATCCCTGGCCCACGGGGAGATGATACATAAGACACTAAATTTCGATAATTTGTTACACAGCAGTAGATAACTAATGTACTCTCTCACCTAAATACTAACATGAGCTATTCTCTTCCTGATTTAGTTGCTTTTTCAGATAATCATTAATTTCAACTATTCCTGTAACTGAGCTATCTAATCCAACTATCCCTGCTTTTCCAGACACACATGCTCACAAGTTCTGTAGTATTTTGGTTATCATGACCTATATATGCTATCTCTCCTGTAACTCCAGCTCCTTAGCTCCTTGACATTCCTGGCTCTTCTGCTTTCCAAATTTTACCAGAGGTGGGAACCAAAAAAAGAAGAAATCAGGGTTCTCCTTATACTTCCTAATGTATCCATGTATTAATCCATCTGCTCACCCATGCATCCATTCATCCAGGCTTCCATCCTGCCCCTCTCCTAATCCTCAGGTATCTGGTCATACTTCCACCCACACACTACTAGTTTATTCAAGTGTCTGTCTATTCACCTAGCTTGTTACATGTTCATCCACCTCTTTTTTCTTCTATCCAACCATCTGTCCATCCACCCTTCCTCGTCTTTCAGCCCCCATCCATCCCTTCCTTCTTACACACTTTCCCACACAACTAGTCATCTGTAACTTTGGAGTCTGTACAAAAGTAGCCAGTGAGCCATTCAGGAGGCCACCTCACTTCTCCTGACTCAGAATGAGATTGAAGCATCTCTTTCTCCAAATTTTTTGTGCTGCACCCCCTCCTATTCCTCCTCTACACAGGCCTGCCTGGCACCAAAACGTAAGCTTTTCCCAGGAATTCAGCGCTTGAAATGGAGGCAAGAGTTTCAGCTGGAGGCTGGAGGGGGTGTTGGGCAGATGGGCTTTGAGGGCAGATATATTAAGGCCACCAGTGGGTAAAGGAAATGAATGAGGAGAACAGAAAAGGATACCAGAGAGTGTAGTCCAGTCAGGATAAGGGGGACACCAAGGCAGAAAGTGTCTGTGACACGGATTTCAAGTAGTTCTACTCTCTTACTCCAGTGCCAAAAACCCACAGGCTCCATCACATTTAGGCAGATGGGTCTGAAATCTGCTTCCCTAGAATGGCCACCCACTGTTCTGGTTCTGTATTTTGAGCCCCATTCTCAATACATCTGCTCATGGTTTCTGTTTTTCCTTAAGTTCTGTCCTCTTGTCCTTGAGCAGTTTTGAGATTCTGGGCCCAACTGGGAAAAGTCCCCCTTTGACACATCGGAAGCAGAAAGAAACCAAGCCAGGGCCCTTCCTGGAATCTCAGCTTTTCCCTCTCCATCAGCCGGGTCACCAGAGGCCTGAGCTCCTATCACTGACCGGAGCAGTAGCCACTCCACCCTAGGGAACGGAGTCCCACATACTATGACTCCTGCATCATCCTGCCTGTTCCTGCTCTGGTGGGACCTTAATAAGGATTATTCAGGGCCACTCACCCAAATCAATTAATGGAATCATTTGGAGCAGCCAATACAGGGCGATCTGCCAGGACAGAGATGCTTTTTTTTATCAGAAAAATTGGCAAGAAAGTAAGTTTCAGGCTCACGACTTTCATTTCCAGCCTCCTCAAAGAAGTAAATTGATTTTCTCCAACTGAAGATACTTAATCTTGAGAATTTAACATTTCTGTACAAGAGAATGTATAGAAGTCTATATATACATATATAAATATATGTATAAATTTCGAAGGGAGCTAAATCCTAGGGAATGTGTGCAGAGAGGCAGCAGCGGTATGATTCCATGTAAGACCTGGAGCTTTTTCCATATCAGAAAAGAGACTTTTTCCCAAATTAATTAGCTTTCTTATCCCTGGATGTGGAGTCTTTGGCCTTATCGGCTCCGTGTCCCAGAGCAGTTAATCACTTCTCTCGGGTTATTTCCATGGGGATCAGTTCTGTCTGAGTCCCCTGCCTCTGCCTGATGCTACAGTTCCCTTAGAGAGGACAGGCTCGCTGGCTCTGCTCCAGGAGCAGCCTCTGAGGCTGGCCCGAAATATTGGACCCCTGCCCCTGAGTGGGTTCCTGGCTGGAGGATGGCAGAGCTGGAGTGGAGACAGAAGCAGAGGTCAGCTCCCTGCAGGGACTCTGATGTCACATCAGCCTGGGTTGCAATGCCAGTTCCTTTTGTGACCACAGTCTAGAGATGTCTCATCTATAAGCCTCATTTTCCACATGTGTAACATGCAAGGCTTAAGAACGCTGACTGTAGGGACTGTGAAGATCAAGTGAGAAGAGGCGTGTGAGGAGTTTAACCACACGCCTGCCCCCTGAGTCTCTGTACATGGTTGGTAGCATTATCCGCTTCCAGGCTCCTTAATTCTCTTTCAAGCTCACTTTTCCCTTTTAGAAGGAGGGTGCAAAGCCAGATATGGAAACACATACCAATGACTGGAAGCTGAGGTAGGAGGCTACAAGTTCAAGCCCAGCCTAGGCAAATTAGCAACTTAGGGAGACTTTGTCTCAAAATAAAAACAAGCAAACAAACACAGAGGCTTGAGGTATAGCTCAGCGTGAGGCCTCTTGGGTTCAATCTCTAGAATCTGCAGAAAAGGAAGAAGAAAGAAAAAGAGAAAGAAAGAAAAGAAGATAGAAAGAAATAAGAAAGGGTAGTAGGGAGGGGATAAGGGAGAGGGGATAATAATCTCCACAGCGCAGAGGTGGC